GCCGGCGGCGCCGCGCCGGCTCCCTCGCGCGCGGGCATCGTTGCGCTCGCGTGGCGGGCGGCGGCGCCCGTGCCGGGGCGGCGGGGGAGCGGGCGGGCGTGGGCGCGCAGCGGTGGCGGGGACAGTCGAGCGTTCGCGGCGCCCGCGCCAGCCGGTAAGTTGGCATTTCGGGCGGCGAAGCGCCCGCGGCGCGCCGGAAGCCGCCGCAGTGGTCGGAGGGCGGGCGGCGGGGGCCGTGGGGAGCAGTGCGTGGAGCCGGGAGCCTCTCTTCGCCCGCCTGCCGCGTTGCCTGCGCACCTGGCTGGAAACTGGAGCGGCAGGACGTGCACCGGCCGGAAGGGGCGCAGCGAGAGGGGACGAGGGTGGAGCAGATGTGCCCCCGGCCTGGGGCGAGATGGAAGGGGCGATGCTCGCAGCCAGAGGTGCCCTGGGTCCTTCCAGCCGCCTTTCCCGAGGGTGCTGGGACTGCTGGGGGGGGGGCGGGAGGGACACAGGGCCTCTGCAAGAGAGGCAGGCTTGGCTTTCCCAGTGAATACAGTTAAATGCCGCTCCCTCCTATTCCTGCCTTTACTCCTTTAAAGCGTCTCCGTCTTCATCCATCACTTGCGGTCTGTCTCTTGGGGTGGCTCCCGCATGCCCAGAGTGCAGAGGTGCAGATCGCAGCTACATGGGGTTTCTGTGCAGACACCCAACCGATGGGGCAAAATATGCCAGCGAAGCCTTCCCTGCGGGCTTCCTGCGGTCATGGCAGGATTTCTGTGTGGTTAAAAGGCTTCCTGTGTTCGGATTAAGTTTGCCTGCCAAAGCAAGGTGTAGCTTTGGCCAACTCACGCCTGCATCTGGTGACGGCCCCGTGGAACTCTTGGTGGAAAGAGTGTGACTGCGCTGGACAACCAGCCCCGACTCTAAGGAAGGGGTTTCAGGATTGAGCCTGTTCAGAGCTTTTTCTTTGCTGCTTTCCATGGCACCTTCTGGAAAATGTCTGTCTCAGGCGTGGGCTAGATAGGCGGCTTCTGCGCGCCTGAGTGGGGAGCGGCTGTCATGCTGGGAGTGCGGTGAGCTGGGCCTTCATTCCTACCCTGAAGCAGCAGAGGTAGGTGTGGATTGGGAAGCCCGTCGCTCAGCACTCCTCCTCTGCCCCCTCCTCCATTCCAGGCAAAAGGGGCTTCGCTGCCGTGTTGCTGGGGTAATGGAGCGCCTACGCGGTGCAGGGCCAAGCTGGGAAGCCCCCACTGCCCTTCCCCCTCCGGGAGATGGGGCGGTTCGCTTGGCCGCTGCTTGGCCAGGGCACCTGGTGCTGATGGCTGAGCAGTGGTTGGAAAGGAAAGGCCTGGCTCTCTCCCCATGGAAAGAGAGGTGGAGGCCTCTCTTCCTTGCCCAAGTGGAGACTGGATGAGCCACCTCCACACCTCCTTTGCCTGCCGGACCAGACACCTGGCGGGCCACGCTGGCAGCCAGAAACGACGAGCCCCATAGGGGCGAGGCCTGGGCGGCAGAGGCCCATTCGGGGGGACAGACGTAAGCGAGTTGCGTGCTAGGGCTGCCGCACGGGCCCGTTTCCTGCCCCTGGAAAGCAACGGCGAGCGCTTGGCCGAGGCATTACGAGTGGGGCCTGTGGCAGACCGTTGGACTGTGCCCCTCTTCGCCTCCCCCCTTTCCTTGTCCATCCCAACGTCCTTCCTCTTGCGTGCGCCGGTTGCAGCCAGGAGCACTTCGAACACGAGCAGCTGCCTCGGCACACCGGCCCCCCACTGAATTCTCGGCCCTCTCCTTGAGTTCTTCTGGAACTGGGGAGGTTGGCTCCCTTTTTACGTGTGCAGGTCCTGGAGTTCACCTGCGAGTCCGGGTGTCTTCCTCTTCTCAGTGGGGCTGCTTGGCTTTGTTGGCCTGCCCTGCCCAAGTCCCGTACTGGCTGGGGTGCTTTGGGTGGGTGCCGCTGGCCCTTCTTACTTTGGGATGCTGCTTGTCTACAGGAGGTTCGCTCCTGAACATCCCGCTCACAGCAGGCTCCCTGCACTGCACAGTCATGGTCACCGGGGTCTTGGGCACAGCTTGCGAGGAGCAGAACCTGCCTGCATCTGAACCCCTCTTTGGGAATGAGCCATCGTGTGCCTTTTGACGTAATTCAGAAAGGTTCCGTTGCGCCATGTGGAGCGTAAAGGTGGCCTCTTCTAAGGCTGCTGAAAGGCAGTGCTTCCTCCTCCAAGTCTCGCTGTCTGGAGCCAGCGAGCAGTCTCTCTGGGCAGGCGCAGGCTCCCGCCTGCCCGCCTGCCTTGCAATTGCTGCTGGCAGGTCTGGATCGGCCTGGCCCTGTCTGGCCTCACTGGGGAGCTCTGAGTCACTCGGGAATCTTGAGTCGCTTGTGGGAATGAAGAGCAGGTATCAGTCTGAGTTACCCGGAGGCGGAGCCGCCCTTGCACGGGGGGGGGGGGGGGAGGGGAGTGCAGGTGGCTTGCTCGAAAGTAGATCCAGCGCTCCAGGGAATGCTGGTGTTGGCAAACCAGTTGCGTGCCTTTCTGCGGGAGGAAGGCGCAGAGGGCAAGACCGCACGCTGCGCTGTCTGTCCGCCGAGCTTCAGGCTTGATTCCCTGGTAACTGTGCAGGCCAAGTCAGGCTTGGAACAATAAAGTGCCACCGAAAGGCTTGATGCTGGGCAGGCAGGACGAATGACATGGGATGGTGGGTCGGGACGCATGGCGTGGTTCCCTTTTCTAACCCAGCTTTTCATCACCCTAATCTAGTCTGCTTCCTGAAGAAAACGGTCTTGGGAACGGCACTGCAGGAGGGCAGCGCTGGCAGAAAACGCAGCATCACTCATGCAGTGCCGGAAAGGGACTGCCGTTGCCTGGTTCAGAACCAGGCCTGGGACAAGGTCCCCCAGCTGGGATGCCTTCCCATAGGCGGAACATGGGTCACTGATCTCCAGAAAGGCTGAGTCGGCACATTCTAGGCGCTTGTGCTCTTACCAAGAAGTGCTGTCGATAGGGACGCTGTGGACCGAACGCGAGGAGCTGAGATTGGACTGCAGCCCCCGCCCCCCCCCCCGGTGTTGCTCCCATCGCTGTTGGGCGTCTTTCTGCACGCGTTGCCGGTGCTGCAGCCCGCGCGGGGGGGACCCAGTCCGAGGCCGCCTGGCTGGTGCTGCATCCAGCCCTGCCCTGCCCGGGGGCTCTCGCGCACCAGCCGCATTACCTCTGGCGCCTTGCATTTGCCTGGCGTTTTGGCTCTTGTTTTCATCACAGTCTGCGTCGTCTCCTCTCGGCCCTCTTTTAAGATAAGCAAGCTGCATGCAGACGCCAGAACTGGCAGACCCGCGGGTGGGCTCTGTGGCTCAGGCTCCTGCTCCAGGCGTTCTGGGGATTAAGGCGCCTCCCCCGCCCTCTTGCAGGCGTGGGGTGCACCGCAACGCAGTGCTGTGCTGCCGCCGGGCTTGTGGAAGTTGGGAGCCTGGCTCTTCGCCACCCCTGGGGCCATCCTGTGGCCCCCGGATTTCAGGATCCCACAGAGGCCTCCGTGGCTTGAGGGGTCGGGACGCTGGAGCAGGTGCATGGGGGTGGTCTGTGACCCTGCTCACCCAGGCAACGGAACAAGCGCTTCATCCTGTGGGAGCTTCCACTCCTCCCCTCCCGTGCAGCGGAGCCTCCGGCTGTGCCCTCCCGGGCGCGCCAGCGGAGGGGTAGGAGCACCCAACACTGCCACGGCTCTGCGTGCTCTGCTCGTTGTCTCCTGACTGGGCGCGGGGTTTGCTTTCTGCCACCTCCTCCTGCACTCCGAAATGCCTCCTTGCCTAAAGAGACGCGTCGCCCCAGCCTCTGTCCACCTGCCAGCCTCCGTGGGCAGCGGCCAGGCAGCATGTGGAAGTGGGGTTCTTACTGGCTCCCTGGAGCGGTCTTCAGGCCCATGGCCCTTCCCACCAGCCACGTATTGCACCCGGCCGTGGTGGGTGGCCGGCAGCATCAGCAGAATGTGGGACTGGGTGGACCGCGGTCTCATCCAGCACAGCTCTTCAGGTCCTTTCTGGGCTTTGGCAGGACTGAGTCAGTCCTTGGACCCCCGTGGGCTGTGCCACTTTCTCTGAGCAGCTGCTGCGACCACTGAAGTCGCAGGGGTGCTTTCCCTCCACCTCCTCGCCTGCAGAGCGG